CCACAGAAATGATGTTCTGGCACGGCGTCGGACTGTCAGGGCGCAACCGTTACGTTGACTCGTGGTGTTGAAGTCCCAGGAACGGCGTTCTGGCACGATTCAGGATCGTCGAGACGCAACAGTAACAGTGATTGGCGGCGTTGAAGCCCCGAGAAGTGAGCTCTGGCACAGCTCAGGATATTCAAACGGCTGTTTTCCAACGGGACACTTCATTCAGTGAAAATGGACCATTGCAGGGGCCCAGTTATGAAGAGGGAACTTGGAGGGAGGGTTCATTGTAATAGCGTTGATCAGCCTTGGGTTTGCACTGGTCCTCCTCCTCCTCCTCCTCCTCCTCCTCCTTCTCCACATCATGCTTAAATTACAATATGATTCCTCCTCCTCGTCCTCCTCCTCCTCTTCCGCCTCCTGCTGCTCCTCTTCCTCCCCCTCCCTCCTCCTCCTCCTCCTCTTCCTCCTACTCCTCCTCCTCCTCCTCCTCCTCCTCCTCCTCCTCCTCCTCCTCCTCCTCCTCCTCGTCGCCCTCCTCCTCCTCCTCCTCCTCCTCCTCCTCGTCTTTGCTCCGTTTCCTCCGCTTTCTCTTCCTCCCCCGACTGTTCCCCGAAGGCTTCCCACAACGACTGGGGAAGCAGTCCGACAGCGTGACCGAGCTCTGGCCTCTGGCCACAACATTCGGCTTCCATAAGGCAGGGGGCGACGGTGACTCGCCGTAAGCGTCCTCGATCCGCCACCCCCTGTGCTTGCCCCAAAGGTGCTTGGCGCGCCAGATTTTGCAACAGTTCTGGGACATTCGACATGGCTCTCAGTGGTGTTCGGCCCGACCTGCCGGCCACCCAAAAGGCCGCGCCACGGCCACGAAAGCAAGGCAGACCAGATGACTCCCAAGACGGCCTTCAAGGCGGCCCAAGACGGTCCCAGGCGGCCTCCATGTTGGCCCAAGATGGCTCCCAGACGCCCCAAGTTTGGCCCCAAGACGGGCCCAGACGGCGACAGGACGGCCCAAGATGCCTCCAAGACACCCCAATCCCCACGAGGACCTCAAGATAATTCATGGCGACCAAAGAGGCCTCCACGATGGCCCCCACCCGGCCGACTGCCCAGGAGGGCCTCACGATAGCCCGAAAGGCCCCAAGACGGCCCCAAGATGGTCCAAGGGCCGCAGCCGCCAAGGCCAGCGCGCAAGCAGCTGCCACGGGCAGGCCCGACTGCCCTGAGCCGTCCTGGGCACGCTCGTCCCCCTGTACTACAAGCGGGCTCGGCAAAACGCCCCCCCTCGGCGGGCTGTCGCCGACGTCCGCCTCCGCCGCGCGTTCTCGCATGTCGAGGCCCCCGTCCCCGTCAGGCAAGTCTGGCGGCCGCTGCGTCGGGATCGGGGTCGACGTCATCGCTGCCAGAGCCTGCACCTCTGCCCCAAGAAGGTGCCCAGGTCAGCCAAGGGAGCGCCGAGCCCAGCGCAGGGGGATCCGCTGCTGCCAATGACAGGGATGCCGCCCTGGGCGGCGGCGGCGCTCCCTGAGGCCCCATCGCCAGGCAGCTGCCCTGCGAAGTTGGGGAGCTTGGGCAGGCTGGCCGTCTCCTCCGCTCCGATCAGGGCCTCGATGGCGCGGGCCACCTCGTCGACGGACGCCCACAGCATAGCAGCCACATGGTGCCAGTCCGCGATCAGCAGGTTGAGCAGGCGGTTGCAAGTGGCCCGCCGAACCATCGCCTTGCAGAGCCAAGCCTGCCTGACCATCGCCTGGACCAGGGCCTGCAGCCCAGGCGGGCCCGCCCGTTGGTTGGCCTTCGCGCAGGCAGCGGCGTTGGCCGTCTGGCCTAGCCACGCCAGGGCGCACCGCGTCGCCCAGGCCCCCCAGCAGTTCCCGGCGTGGTCGGGGTGCCGCAGGTCGAAGTCCCAGACCGCAGCGAAGCTCCTGAGGGTGCGGCACAGCAACTTCAGGTCCTCGCTGACGTCGCGGGATGAGCTGCTGCTTGGGGACGCACCTTCGCCGTCTCCTCCAGGGGGCGGCTCCGCAAGCGGCCCTCCGCTCGGCGGTGGGACGTGTGGCCTAGGTCCGTCGCCTTCTCCGCTCAGCGCGGGCAGCTGTGGGGATCGTCCACCTCGGCGAGGCGGTGGCGTGCGGGGCCGATTCCGCCGGTCGCCCCGTCCGCTACCCCGGTCCTGCTAACCCGCCCGCCACCTCATGGCCGCCACGCCCTGCGCGCCCATGTTCCTGATGAGCTCCAGGTCGTCGTCGTCGAGGTCGATCCAGTCCTCTTCCTCAGCCTCCGATGCGGGCGAGTCGTAGGCGGTGGGGCGCAGGCGGTGGCCCCGCGCCCCCACGTGCTGGGCGCTGCCACGGTCGCAGAAGAACGCCCTGCCCGCCGCCATACCCCCGGAACTGGTGGGCTCGGGCTATGAACGCCTCGCCCTCGAGCTGTAGGGCCCGGTCGATGTGGGCCTCGCGAAGGAGGCCCCATCCAGCCAGCCCCGCTCGCAGAACTCCTCCGCCCGCTGCTGCTTCTCCGCGCCCAGCCTGCCAGCACTGATGTACCTGAAGAAGCCACTGAACCTGGGCTCGCCCAGCGGCCTGTACACGTAGCGGACGCACTCCCGAAGCCGACACGCGTAGGCCTCACTATGGTCGTGCAGGTCCGCGATCCACCAGGACGCCAGCTGCGCCAACGCGTCCTCCAGCGGGCCCGCCTGCTCCCGCGCCTGAAGGGCGTGCGTGTTGTTGCCTGCCTCTGGTGGCCTCGGCGGGGGCCCTCCTGCCGCGCGCAGCCCTGCCCCCGCTGCCCCCTCTGCAACGGCGCGCTCTCCGCTCCTCGCGCCGACAGCGGCCTCGCAGGTGAGGTCCGTGGCGCTCGGAGGGCCCACGGGCACCGCGCGCGACTGCCCCGCCTCCTGTCGATGGGAGAGTGAGTGCACTGCAGGTCGTCGAATATGTTCCCGAAGAGGTCCTCCGCCTCTTGCTCCAGCTGGAAGTGCACGTCATCCACTTTAGAGTTAGCTGCATCATCTCGAGCAGCGCCATCGCCTCCTCCAGGCGCCCCCGTCGAGACGGGCCTGCCGCGCGCGCCGTTTACCTCGCGGGTGCACCAGGGGGCAGGCTCCAGCAAACATGCTGGCGACTGAGCCCAGCCCCTCGCGCTGTTTACCTCGTGGGCGCCCCTGGGGGCTGGGGCCTGCGTTCCATGCTGACCAGCGGCCTCATCCTCAGACCTCCCCGCGGCCGCACTCAGCAAGTGCTGAACCTTCTCGGCGACCGCGGCGTTGCCCGCGCGTCTGTCCCCAGGCGGTCGCGACTTCAGGTTGCTGCCCGCCCGGTCCTCGCTCGGCTTGGCCTCGGCGCAAGGGGCCTGGGGGGCCGCGCCCTCGGCGGCGACCTCCGCTTCGATCTGGGCTGCCACCTGCAAGCTCAGGTTGACGGCCTCAGAGCTGACCAGTGCCAGCGCCCCCGCCACCTGCTGGCTCTTGACCGCGCGCGTCTGGCCCAGGCGCGTAGGCTGGCACGGCTTGCAGCCGAGCAGGGACCGAGCCTTGGCGGTGTAGGGTGTAGGCCTCTCTCCTGCACTGGATGCACTGGGCGCCCACCGTCTGGTACTCGTGGCGCGTCAGGCTGAGTTTCGGGCCTGGAAAGATCTTCAGCTCGACGCGGCGCCTGAGCTTGCCGCCGTCGTCCAGCGGCCTCCACAAGTCCAGTTGGCAGATCCTGGCAGCCGCCCGGCCCGCGTAGTTGGCCGTGTCGAGCGCCCGATGGAGCTCCGCGTGGATGGACTCGGCCGCGCCGTCGGGGAGCTCCACCTCGGCCGGGCCCAAGTTGGCGAAGAAATCCGCCCGGCAAGTCCTGGGCCAATCTAGCGGCCCGAAGCCCCCCTCGAGCGCCTGCTCCAGCGCGCGGCGGGCGGGGGCCCGTCAGAAGCTCGGCGGGCGCCTACCCCGCGCATCCGCCGCCGCCCGCAGCTGCCTCCATGTGCCCGCGTGCCTGGCCCTAGCCGCCGCCGCCGTGGGGCACCAATTTTCCCCCTCCGTTACGAGGGACTGCAGGTCGCTCACGATGAGGCTGACGTTGCTAGGATGCTCCGGTGGCGCCAGGCAGGCGAATCGCTCTGTTCGCCCCACTGTTTGCCGCGCCCCTCACCACCGCCCAGCCGCACCTGCGGGCCTCAGCGGCTTTGGAGCCGCGGCCCGAACCGCCCGCATACACCACAGACGGCCAGGGCGTCTGCGCCGCGCCCCAGCCGATGACGGAGTGCACAGTCGGCGCGGCTGGCGGCAGCGCAGGCAGCAACGGCAGGCCGTGCGACAGGGGCAGGTAGCTGTCGCCCACCGTCCAGAGCGTTCCGCCTCGTGCATCTGCTTACGAATCGCCTCCAACGGTTTGCGGAAGGGCCCATCTTGCTCCTGCTCGTCGCCGCGCGGCGCCATGACTTCAGGACAGACGCGCCAACTATGCATCGGCGTGTCGCGCTGCTCGCCGCACGCCCGGCACTGGGTCGCGTCCGCGAAGCCACGCATGTACCTCAACTCGTCGGTGTAGTGGCCTCCCGACCAAGGAGCCCGGAGCGCGCCCTTTCCCCGGCAGCGCGCGCGGCCCGCGCGGTTCGCGGCCGGAGGTGTCCCCCGTCGCCTTCAGGGAGTTGCCCAACCACGCGGCGGCACTGCCAGCGCTGGATGCCCTCGACCAGCGCATCCTTGATGTCCCTCGGCGCCGTGCGCAGCAGGGAGTAGGAGTCGCCCGTGTCCGCTTTGATCACCCACACCGACGCCATGCTCCAGCCGATGCGCCCGAGGGAGGGCCAGGTCGCCGCCAGGGGGCCGTGCGCCGTGGCCCAGGTGAGGTTACCCGCTCTGGCCACGGCCGCCAGGTGGTCCCAGCTGGCCGAGAGGGCCGCAAGCGAGCCGCTGCCGCCCCAGATGCGGCTTGCTTGGCGTGGCGCATCACCAGAGGGACGGTGGCCATGTAGATGGGGTCGTAGTCGACGCGCTTCTGCAGCAGCATGACGGCGGCCGTGTCTCAACCTGCTTTGGCCCCTGCCGTCTCGGCCGCCAGCGTGCGCAGCTGGGCTGGCGGCCTGTCCGCCAAGCCTGACACCCCTGCTTCGTGCCCAGCCGCAGGGGAAAGGCCAGTGGCCACCAAAGCGGCCGCGCGCCTCCCCGCCACCCTCCCGAGCATGGCCAGGCGCCGCTGTCGCTCCAGCAGGGCCGCCAGGCGCCTTTTCTCCTGCGTGCGGAAGACCTTGCGCCCGTGGAGCTCGCGCCCCAGGCTGCAAACCCAGATATTCTCCTTGGGCCCCTGCCGCTGCATCGCAGGTCCCAGCAGCTTGGCCCCCCTCCTCGAGGACGCCAGGAAGCCTGACTTCTGCGGCTGCATGACCAGCTTGAGGTTCGCCATGCTGGCAGTAAAGCTGACCAACGCCTTGGACAGGTCCTCACTGTGGCCCGCGCGCGGCCGCGCCCACGCCAGCATGACGTCATCTACCAGGCCGCGCGGCTGCGCTGTGGGCGCAGTGGCGTCGGCTCTCTGCAGCGCACGCAGTGTGAGCACCAGCAGGAGTGAGTTGGCGTGCCCGCAGCCCGCAACGTTCCTCTGCCGCGCCACCACCGCACGCGACATCGTGTCGAAGGCGGGCAGCGCACGGGGCTGGTGGCACGTGGGCAGGAGCACCCACGCGAGGCGCAGCGGGAACTGCAAGGCGCGGGCTTCCTGCCGCTTGGCCTCGGGCGCCCACATCTCGTAGGCCTTCCAGAAGTCCAGGGCTGCCTCCGCTGAGTCCTAGCCTGCCAGCTGCGCCTGTTCCTTGGCCAAATTGAGATCGCACGCCGAGTCTGAGCTGGAGCGCCCAGGCCCCGCCCCCCAAACCAGCGAAGAGGGGCTAGCCCGCTCCCATGCCTTGGTGACTGAGCGGCGCGCGCGCCCTGACAGGCGTCGGCATGAGCCCAATGAGGCGGCTGCCTCCGCCTGGCTTGGGAAGCCTGGCCATGGTGTTGATGAGGCGGCGGCTGGGCCACTGCAAAATCTCCTCGCACTTGTGGAAGACCGCAATCATCGCATCAATTGTTGTGTCCGAGATGTCCCCGGGGCCCCTGGGCGGAATGCCCGACTGCCCAACCCCCGCGCGCCGCGGGAACGAGCGGATCACGCCCCGCACGCCGCGGTGATCAAGAGGCAGGAGCTGCTCCCAGTCGCATGTATCGGGGGGCAGGACCATCTTCTTGAGGCCGTGGAAATTCCGAATGTCCTCCCATGGTTGCAACTCAAGTTCTACCAGCACATCGCGGTCTTGCCCGTCGCTGGCATGGACCACCTCCTGGAGCGCAGGGACCGTGGAGGTGGCGTGCGCTGCGCCCGCCCCCCGGCAAAGGCCTGGTCGATCCAGCCCTTCCAGCGCACCCGGGCTGCCTGGGCGTCGAGCTTCTCATGCTTCTGGGCCTCGGCGATGACCCGCTTGAGGTCCCTGCCCCGGCGCTCTCCCAGGAAGACGTCTCCCCCCTGCAGGGAGGGCGCCCTTGCCCAGTCGGGCAGGCGGGCCCAGTGGGCGCGGCCCTGGACGCGAGCCAGGAGACGATGCACTTCGACCAGCGCAGCCCCGCCCGAGGCCAGCCACTTCTCCCGCGCCGCGCTGGGGTGGCTGGGCTCGCCCACGGGCTCGCTGTCGAGCAGGCGCAGGACCGTCGCAAAGCGGTCGCGCAGGCCCATCATCAAGCGCCTTGCCCAACCCGCCGCTGCTGCCCAAGCCTGGGCGCTGGGGACCGCACATGCCGCTTGCGCGGCGGCTGCCAGGTGACCTTGGGCCAGACGGGATTGACCTCGCCCTCGGCGCCCCTTCCTGCGGCCCGCTGGCGCCCCTCCCCGACGACGCCCCTGCGGCCCAGGATCTCCGACTCGATGCCCTCGAGGAGCATGTCCCAGATGCATTGAAGGCCTGCGTCGTCTTGGGCCGCAATTACGCCCCTCCTCCTCGCGCCCCCCCACCTCCGCGGCGCACGGGCGCAGCCGGGAAGCGCCGCTTCTTTCAGGGCGGGCTTCGGCTCGTTGGGGGCCCTCTGCCAAGCAATTACCTGGGCACCACTGGCGGGGAGGTGCACAGGCCAGTGCGACCAGGTACTGGCCCCCAAGTCCAGCTGAGCACCCGACTGGATCAGACCTGCCAGGCTCTGGAGACGACGAAGTAATCCATGCGCGAGCCACTGCCCTGCCTGCAGGACGGCGACTCTGTCGCCTTCGCCACCGCGTGAAGCGTCGTGATCCAGCCGAAGTCCAGCACCTGCGGCTCCATGTCCCCGTCCCCACGCCGGCCAAGTGGTAGCCCTCGGGCTCCAGCTGCCCCGGGCACTTCGACAGCTGCCAGATGGCGCCGAGGCTGCTGCCCGAGAAGCCTTCCCCAGCGCGAAGATAGACGCTCAGGATCACTATCCCCGCTCGCGGGCCCGCGCGGGCATGGCCTGCCACCAGCCTGCCTGGCGCGATGTCAGGGGGGCCGCGCCCAGGGGACCCGTGACCTAGGCCGAAGTAGGAGCCGGGACGGCCACTCCTCCCACTGAGCCCGCAGCCGTCGCGGTCGACGGGGCGGCGGCGCTCCAGACCCCGTGCCAACCCGCATCCTCGCAGGCCCGCTGCTGCGTAGCCAAGTCCCTGGCTAGTCGATGATGCTGATGATGCTCCTGGACCCCGATGGCCTGGGTCGACTCGCCGTCGGCCGCGCGCAGGCACCAAAAGGTGCACGCCCTCCTCTGGCGACGAGCGGGCACGGCCAGGGGCGGCTGCTCAGCTACGGAAGCTGGCTGGCCTTGGCGCGGGAAGGCAGCGCCACCCCGCGGCAGGGGGGTGGGGGGTGGGGGGCGGCGCGAGCGGGGGGCTCGAGCTCCGTGCAGGGCGCGCCGGGCATCGCGCAGGGAACGCTTCCAGGCCGCCCCGAGCAACGCACGCGATGGCAGCCCGGTCGTTCGCGTCCTGGGAGATGCCGAGCGGCTCCTGCATGTGAGGGAGGGGCTGCGACTTCGAGGGGCTGAATCCCTCCGCCTCTCCCTCGGGGCCGTGCCCTGGGGCCGACGCCCATGGCTGCCCTTCGGTCGGTTCCTCCAGGCCAGCCGAATCTGACGTCCTGGGGCCGCGCCCTCGATGGCCGAACACCCCGACCAGCCCACCTAGGGTCTGGCCCTCCGCCCAACCGTCGCGCTGCTGAGGAAGGGGCACCCCGCCGGGAGCCGCAAACAAGCCGCACCCTTCGCCTTGGACCGCGCCAGCGCAGCCCCCCAGCGCAGCGACGCCTGACTGCGCCGCGCCTGTCTCCGTTGCCGATCGCGTCGCGGCCGAAGGGCCGCCAGCGCGGTGGGCCACGCCTGCGGGCCCCCCCTGGCCCCGGCGCGCAGCGCCCCAGTGATCGAAGCCACCCAGCTCGCGGGTTGCCTGCTCCTCTGCCTCGTGCAGCTCACTGCGGCAGGCATCCTCGTCACCGAAAGGCGTTGCCATGGCGATGACACTGCCCTCAGGCCTTCCGCTGCCGCTCTGGCGGCGTCGCGCCGATGGCGCCCCAGCAGCGCTTGCAGACTGCGCGCGCAGTGGCGTCGCCACGGCGCTCAGAGCCCTCAGGTGGGGCTGGCGCCTGGCCCACCTTCTTGAGGGAATCACGTCGGCACTCGCGCTCCAGCTCCTCGACGTCTATGGCGTCGTCTCCCGCTGGGACGCCTTCGCCAGGGACAGGGCCCCGTCCTTTGCATGGCGCCGCGGCGCCGCGGCCTGCCTCAGCGACCTCCGCTGCCTGGGCGCGATTGGCCGCCGCCGCTGCCGCCGCCTCAGCCGCGCGGGCGCCCCTGCGCTGCCGCTCGCACATGATGGCGTGCTCGTTGATGGGCCGCTGCAACGCCTCGTCGACCCTGAAGCTGCCCAGAACCATCCCCGACAACTCCGCGCTGATCTGAAGGCCGCCCACCTCGACCAGGCCGCCCAGGCCAGCGCCAGGCTCGCCAGGGGGGTGTAGCACCATGCCTACCGTGCGCACCTGCTCCGCCTTGAGCTCCGCAAGCAATTGAGGTCGCGCTCGCCGGTTGCCTGCTGCAGGGCCTCCGCCTTGGTCTCCAGCTCTTCCTTCTGCACATCAATATTGGCGAGCTCGCCGCGATCCTTCTCGTTCTGCTTCTCGATCTTCTTGATCTGGCCCGCGATGCCATTGAGCTGCGCGCCCTTGGGCTTGGAAGATGGCCGCGCGCAGCTGCGCCTGCTCCTCCTCCTGCTGGGCCTTCTTGGACGCCCAGGACTCGCGGAGCTCCGTGTCCTCCTCGTCGAGCAGATCCGCCCAGCTCTGGAGGCCGCGCAGCTTCTTGGTGACTGGGTCGAGGCGTTGGCGCTCGGCCCCCGCCAACCCCTCGCGCCAAGGGGGCCTCGCGCCCGCCGCCAGGCCTGCGCCTGCCGCCTGCTGGTCCGCCGCCTTCGCCCTGACCTGCCTGAGCTCCTCCAGCGCCTTCGCCAGCTTGACGCTCTCGCTCGACTTGGAGGGCGCGCTCTCCACTGGCTTGCCCCCGTAGTGCGAAGACTTCGGGCAGTTGCACCACTTGCACTGCATACGGTCTCCGAAGTTGAGCTTCCCGAAGCCCTTTGCGTCGGGCACGGTGCACGTCTTGCAGTACCGTGGGACTTCCCGCTCGCTCGCACTGCTGCGCCAAGCCCAAGGCTGCGGCCCCCCCCTCCTCCGCCGCCACCAGGCTTGCCGCTGCTGCCACCGCCGCGCGCGCCCCCTTGGCCGCCGCCCGCGATTGCTGCCGCTCTGTGAGAGAAGGCGCCCCGAGCAAGGCGAGAAGGAGAAGGGCAGCCTCGCGCCGCGGCCAAACAGAAGCTCGTTGCTTTGCCGTTGCTTGGCCCAAAGCGCGAGACCCCTCGCGCTCAGGTGACGCCTGCGAAGGACTCGCGGTCGTCGGGTGCCTCATGACCTTGAGCCAAAATGGCTGCGGGCTCTCTCTCCCTCCCTCTCACGCTATCTCTCTCTCTCTCTCTCCCTCGTTATTTTGTTTTCCTCTCTCTCTCTCTCTCCATCGCTCTCTCTCTCTCTCTCTCCCTCTCTCCCTCCCAGAGGAACTGAAGGGCAGCAGGCGCTCCAGGATACAGGAGGGAGAAGGGAAGGGCGAAAGGAAGAGGAGCAGGGACAGAGACACATGATCTGCTTAACCCAACTCCTGGTTGCTCCGCCATCCTGGCTGGCCCCTGAGCAATAAGGGGGAAGGAAACGGTGCCCGAACCAACATCCACCTGAGCGGACAAGCCCGCAAAACTATTCCTGTGCGCTCCTGTACTTAGCGGGCGGATGCAGGGCTGTCGTCGCCACGCCTCTGTGTGGCTGGTTGAGAGGGGCTTGAGAGGAGGGAGCTGCGGAACATCATCCAGCACCATCCCACAGCACACACACACACACACACACGCACAGACAAAAACACACACACACACACAAACGCACGCACAAACGCGCACGCAAACAAACAAACACTCACACACATACAAACACACACACACGCACACACACACACACTCGCGCGCGCGCCACACGACATCCTCCTCCTCCTCCTCCTCCTCCTCCTCCTCCTCCTCCTTTTCTTTCTCATCCTCCTCCTCCAGTCTCCTCCTCCTGTTCCTCCTCCTCCTTGTCCTCCCCAGGGTTCAGAATCCAGGACTCAGGACTCAGGACTGCGGGCTGGCCTACCGGGTCAGCTGGAGCACTGGAACCCACCCCGCCCCGCGGCCGCCAGGGGGAGGGAAGAACAACACGAGAGGGAAAGAAGGACGACCGCACGGCGGACACGAGGGAAAAAAAACGAAAGGGGAAGACGGACGACCGAAAAAACGAAGTGAGGAAGAAGAGGGCGGGAAGGGAGTGGGTCCGAGCGTGGGCTCCAGCCTCCCAGGAAGCAAACAAAGATCCACTTCGGCTCGCCTCTCCCGGGGTGAGCTCCTCCTCCTCCTCCTCCTCCTCCTCCTTCTCCTCCTCCTCTTCCTCTTCATCCTCCTACGGCACCTCCTGCTCCTCCTCCTCCCCTCCTCCCCCTCCTCCTCCTCCTCCTCCTCCTCCTTCTCCTCATCATCATCATCATCATCAGCATCATCATCATCATCAGCATCATCATCATCATCATCATCATCATCATCATCATCATCATCATCATCATCATCGTCACCCTCATCATCATCATCAGCAGCATCATCATCGTCGCCGGCATCCTCTTTGTCGACATCATCATCGGCATCCTCATCATCATCAGAACCACTACCATCATAATAATATGGTTCGCCTTCTTCACCAGCATCATGATCAGCATCATCAGCATCAGCATCAGCAGTACCACTATCATAATCATTATCATCAGCATCATCCCCATCATTATCAGCATGATCCACATCCTAATCATCGTACTCCTCCTAGAGTTCCTCATCGCCCTTGGCAGCATCATCATCATCAGCATCATCATCAGTCTCATCATCATCAACGTCATCGTGAGCATCATCATCAACATCGCCACCGCGATCCGTATCGTCACCACCGCTTTCATCACCAGTATCGGCATGGTTCTTGGTTTGTCGACAACCGCGCGCCATAACAGTGTGTGGTGTGTGTGTGTGTTGGTGTGTGTGTGTGCGTGTGTGGGTGTGTCTCTGTGTGTGTGTGTGTGTCGGCGTGTGTGTGTGTGTGTGTGTGTGCGCACGTGTGTGTGTGTGTTTCTGTGT